CAGAGGATTAATATCTATGTAGAAAAAATAGAACACATCTGATACCTTCAAATCTTGTAATATGTATAAGAAAATTGTTCTATTAGGAGTTACTTCTGTAGATTAACTTAAAATATGTGCTTTAAGCAATTATTTGAATTCCCAAATTTTTAAGTTACAATCTTAAAAAGTGGAGACATTAAAAAAGAACCCTTGAAAAAATTTAAGAACCTCAATATTCATGTTTAATTGATTTATGAAAATATGTAATTCTTGAGCCTAATCTTAATCCATGAAAGCTCTTAAAGAGAAAACAAATTTGTAAACTTTATGAATTTAGTTCTTTTTTTTCTTATTCATCGTAAAGGTGATGAACAGGGGAGTTACACTTACTAAGTAAGTGATGAGTACATGTCTTTTTGGACACCTTACCCCTGCTCTCATTTTCTCCACTTTCCCCTCCCCACTTTCCTTTCCCCCAAGTTGTAAAGTTCATTTCCAACTTAGTCTAGTGAGTGACATTGTTGGATTAGTTCATCCTTTGTCCTGCTGTTTCTGGCATTCCCTTTTCTTTCCAAGGATCAGATAAACTTATAATCAAGACAAAGGACACAGCAAACAAAACAAAACAAAGCAAAACAAAAAACATGAAAAACAAATAAACAAAAATAGAAAAAAACAAAAGAACTTCAAACAGTACATTATAGAAACATATTTCCAATTACTCGAGTTCATTTTGATATGCTTCATTATATAAAATGGTCATATGCACCTAGCAAATGGGCTATAGTGATCCTCTGCTAAGACTGTCATAGACATAATCTAGTTATTACAAATGAAGGAATAAGCTTCTTATGAAATGTTTTATTTTCTCTATTTGTAAAAAAATAACATACATAGAAGTCAAAAGTGAAGGAATACGCTTTGAATCTGTGAGTTTAACAAATATATATTTATTTTTGAAATACAGTAACTTTTGTAAAAACTTTTGTTCTAAGGACATAGGAAAGCTTCAAGGAAATAAAACCCTCACTGAAGAATATGGGACATATTCTTTTTAACAGTGATAAAACAATATTACTAATAATGGGCAAATTGCTATCATGTCCCCTCTAATACAAAACCCTAAGGAAGTCATCTCAACTATGTAATATCCCTATTAAAAACTTGTAATATGAACATGGCTAAGAAGAAGCAAATAAATCTATGTAGAGTGACACCTTCAAAACAAATGGCCATGATAATGTAAGATCAGCATTCATAGCAACCAACCAAACAACACTCCCTCCCCAACTTGAAAAAGCAATGATAGAAAGAACAGGGGGGCTGGGAAGGTGGCTTCCTGGTAGAGTGTTTGCCTAGCATGCATGAAGCCCTGGGGTTCAATTTCTCAGTACCACATAAACAGAAAAAGCTGGAAATGGAGCTGAGGCTTAAGTGGTAGAGTGCTAACCTTGAGCAAAAGAAGCTCAGGGACGGTGCCCAGGTCCTGAATTCATGCCCTGGAACTGGCAAAAAAAAAAAAAAGAAGAAGAAGAAAAAAATAGGAAGAAAGAAAGGAAAAGAAAGAAAGAAAGAAAGAACAGGGAGTCAAAGGGGCGGTATGATTATGTGGTCCCTGTTGGGATCTGGATCTCTAAGTTAAAAAAAAAAAATCTATAAAGCACAAAATTGAGATATGTTCACAACTTGGATAAGGAAATATTCATGTGCTTACATGATAAATGCTGCAATGTTCAGGGGAGAACTCAAAATATGTCCATGATTCTTACTTGAACAGCTAAAAATCTGTGCACATGCAATACAATTCACTGTTCTACTGTGAACATTTCTCTAATTTAAAATTTTTCAAAGTTAAAAAAAGTTTAAAAGAACGTTCGCATGTTGAACCTCAGCTTTGTTTCCTTTTTTATGAAGCTCTTGAATTTTAGAAGTTGACCCCAATTTTCAGCACAGGGGACTAGCCTAGTCTAAGAATTTTTTGGCAATGATTTGGTCAGGATTCTCTCTCATGCCAGTCAATTCCACTTATTTTAGTTTTGAAAAATGCCCAGTAAATGGGTATCATTGGCAATAAACAATCACAAAAGTGCAGTGTATATGTTTGGTTCTCTCTCACACACAAACACACATATACAATACACAAAAAAGCTCATATAAAGGTTGTTCTTGTATAAAGAAAATGCATTTTATTTCAGAAAATACACTCACTCAAGTGTGTGCAGCATAGGCATTCATTGGTGAATTTAGACTAACAGGAAGTGATGTAAATTATACTTATTACACTACTGGGAGGCAATATATTAAATCCAGACAGCACATGGACACCACACAAGGAGTTCATTGTGTGGCAGGAAATCATGTAGCATTGGTGGGAAGACAATGAACTATATACTATGAAATCCCTCTGTGGTCATTGAAGACTAAAACAACTTTTCAAGGAATATGATTTTCTTCTCCCACTGATTTTTTTTTTTTTTACAAAGCCCCAAGGTATTCTAGTTGTAAGCATATTGAAGTTCTATTCAATTATTTCAGGCTGTTTGCTGGTCATTAAATTGGAAACAATAATAGACAATGAAGCTATAAATGTTTAGATTAAAAAAAATCATAGCTATGGCCAAACACTCACCGTACAGATGAGACTTACACCTGTAATCATAGCTACTATGGAGACTAAGATCTGAAGATCTCAGTTCAAAGCTAGCCTAGGCAGGAAAGTCTATGAGACTCATCTCCAATTAATCATCCAAAACAAAACAAAACAAAACAAAAAACCCAGAAGTAGAACTGTGTCTCAAAAGATAGAGCACTGGCCTTGGGTAAAAATTCTCAGGGACATAGCTTATTCCCTCAATTAAAGCCTCAGGGAGGAGAGAGAAAGAGGGAGGGGAGAAAGAGAGAGAGGAGAGAGAAAGGTGGAGGGGGGAGAGGGGAGAGAGAAAAAGGGAGAGGGAAAAAGGGAGAGGGGGGAGAGAGAAAGAGGGAGAGAGGAAGAAAGGAAGGAAGAAAAAAGAAAGAAGCAAAGAAAGAAGGAAGGGAGGAAGGAAGGGAAGGAAAGAGAACGAATGAGAGAAAGAAAGAAAAAGAGAGAGAACGAAAGAAAGAAAAGAAAAGAAAGAATAAAGAAAGAGTATACTTAGAAACTGATTGGTTGGACGGTCATCTTTTTGTACAACTACTTAATGATAATAAAATATAATTTAAAAAAAGAAAAAGGAGAAAGGAAGAGAGGTACTAAATGGTATAGCACCTCTATAATTCCAGGATCATTGCTTGGAGAAAGATCAACAAATAAATTACCTTGAGAGCAAAACAAATGATATACGATATGTGATCTAATCGTTGAGACTTGTTTCATTGGTCCATTGTATGACATAGCTTCCAGTGAAACACAAAACCCAAAGCTGGAGAATTGGTTCTGCTGCTCGTGTGGCCTGAAGAGAACTCTCAAAACAAATATGGCCAAAGTTGTATAAATCTAATGTCCAAGTTGCTGTTTTGCAAAAATGTCCTATCCAAAGTGAAATACTGGGATGGACTGGGGTCAGTGCTGTTAAGTATTGCCACACTAAGGGTATGTAGAACAAATACTGTTCTAATTTGTCAGTTCTTGCCACAAATGAATATTTCTAAAACGGCACAACAAAAAGCTCAGCAAATAACTTAGTAAAAATAATCGTACTGGTGTATCGCTTCATTTTTAAGAAACATGTCATTTTTTAGTGCACAACTTCTTTCGTAAGGGTGAAGTTGGACTCACCAGGCAAGTACCCAGGAAGGTTTGACTGGGACAAGACATGACTAAGACCTCCCCGCTCCCCAGGCTGGAATTGGGGAAGTCAACCCAAGTTTACCTGACTGATCATACTGTGCCAGGTTGTATTTCATTTTTTAATATTATTTTTTAAGTAAACAGAATAAATTTATTTAAAAGCAAAAGGAAAGAATAGTGAAAACGGATTCTCCTTGGGAGGGGAAGAGTTGGTTATCCCTTGTGGGCTTTGTATTCACCTGTGCACACACAATCACAGGTAACGGTTGAATGTCTCTAATGCTACTCTTTGCAACAATTCTTTCCAACATCATCTCTCACTCCCCACCTCTTAAATCTATTTGATATATACACTTTCAGCAGTGAAACACTAACCTAAACTGACTGGAGATGTTTATGCAAATTGCATAAATTCAGTATCTCACTTTTCTATCTATAAAATCAGGACACGAATAGTCATTAACTCAGGACTTTTGTCATGAATAAAGAGAGAGCAAACAATGTGGAGGCTACAATTCCTTTTGTAGAATATGTGTGTTTGTGTGTGAGTGTGTGTGTGTGTGTGTGTATTTAGATCTTTATCTGCAAAGTATAATGTAGTAGAAAGTTGACAAGATTTCACAAGAGCTAATTGTAGTAGTTATTTCAACAGACATTACACTCTTAAAGATCTTGTTTTCAAAAGCTTTTGTATCCAGGTGTATGAGAGGGTAGGGAGAATGTGGTCATATTATTCAATATATTTGCCATCAAACTAGAAAAATTAAGAGATCAAATTAGGAAAGGAGGGGGGAGAATGATGAAAGGAGTTATAAAAATAAGATAAACTGTTGGGTGCTGCTGGCTCAGGCTGTAACCCTAGCTACTCAGGAGGCTGAGATCTGAGGATCAAGGTTCAAAGCCAGCCTGGGCAGAAAAGTCCGTGAAACTCTTATCTCCAATTAACCACCAGAAAACTAGAAGTGGTGCTGTGGCTCAAGGGGTAGAGCACTAGTCTTGAGCTGAAGAGCTGAGGGACAGTGAGCAGGCCCAGTTCAAGCCCCATGACTGAAAAAAATTAAAAAAGTACTTAAAAACTGATTGTTGGTCACCTTTTTGTACAACTAAAGATAATAAAAATATAACTAAAACAAAAAACTTTGGAAGGTGGCCTTTGCTTGATAACATAATTGATAACTTAGATCTAGGGTCTGAAAGATGTATCTTTCCTATCACTTGTTATTTCTGGATGACTTTTAGTTTTACATTCATTAAAAAAGAATGGTTTAGTGGTCAATTTTAAGGGCTGGTTGTTACAAAATAAAAATCTTCATTTTCAAAGTATTGATTCCATTTTATGTGCATTTTCCACTTAACTATGCACAGTGGTTAAAAAAATTCATAATGAAGGTTTAATTTGAATGGTTAAACGCGTATGATTTCCAAGATGTCTACGTCAATGTTAGTAATAATTAAGGAATTTTGTTCCATACAAAATGCTTTATTTAACCTTCATGCCTTCATTCAGATAATTATACAAATGCATACAATTAAAGGTTTAAACTCTATTTCGGTTCACAGCTCAATTCATAGGAAAGTTGAATACAGAAAAGCAATGCACCAACAGAATATGTCTGAGACACCATTAAAAAAACGATAACACTTGTTCATTTAAATCTCTGAGAATAGACTGGAATAATTATCCTGTGAGAGAATCTCATTAGGAGGGTCTCCCTTTACATTATCATAGGGCAAAAAAAAAAAAAAAAATCACCATTTTACAGTAAAAGGAAAAAAGCTCTGAGTATATTTACAATACATACACTATACATAAATACAAGAACAACACTTACATAATATTAATAAACTTATAACAGGGATTGCCTAAACACTACAGAGTATATAAAATGCAGAGGAAACTATTAGGAAATTAGATCTTTAAGTCAGAGAAATAAATTCATTTGCAATTAAACTCTGAACAGAAAACCAAACAAAGATTTACGAACTCAACACATCTGCTTTGCCAGCATCATTGGGGGACCTTATTCTTATTTTTTTTTTTTAATATGTAGGATTTCCTCTGGGCACTCTAGCTCTCTGAGATCAGAAACATACGAATCATTTGTAAAGTTACATCCATAGAATGAATTAGATGCAGCCCGTCTATTAATTTCGCTGTTCAGAGGCTTTTGGCTTAGAATAACTGTTTTGCAAACTAAAGGATGTTTTTATATTTTTCCACAAGAGATATCTGTGATCCAGTCACTATGGATAATGAGCTAAGTGCCAAGGATCAGGGGTGCCTACTTGATTTGGCCAAAGATGGTATTATGCTCTTTGTTTCCATGGGAGATTTATTCAAAAGAATATGACGTTTGAATTGACGACCCCCGCCCCCAACAACAATGTCTAGACTACTGCTAATTATAACTAAGTCATTTTAAGTGGCAGGTGGGTATCTTAAAGGTGGTCTGTTCTCACTGTTTCACAACACAGAAAGTTCTGAGTACATTCTTCTATGGACAAACATGAATTTGCTGGTTTCTCTTTGTAAAAAATGATCATGATACACATAATTGCATTATGATGCAGGATGACATAATACATAGACAATGTTTTTCAAGCTGGTTTTATCAACTAATTATCTCATTTCCACAGAGTTGGTTTGCCATGTGATGCAATGTGTCCCACACAGACATGAACAAAACAATACAACTACCATCCACTGAGGGGACATAGATTTTTTTTTTAATGAATCTTTCAACACAACAAATTGTGGACAGACAAGTTGATAGGAAAGAGCCTTGTATATAGGCACCAGTGCCCCAGTTCAACAATCCCCATCCAAAGGAATAAAGTCTGAAGAACAAAATATATGGTATGGTCTGGATGCAATCACAAAATTCTGTCATGGGAAAACTAAGAAATAGGAATAGCGCAAAAGCATTTTCTATAATGTTTTATATTGTATCTTTAGAGCATGAAATTAATAGAAAGATTTGATATGCCCTGAAAATACCTTACTTTTTTTTTTATGAATGCGTGGACACTTGTACTTTTGTATTTACACCCCCATTCTATCCTTCTATTCACCCTCATTTCTCAACAAGAAAAAAAAAAATCTCTGTGGAAGTCTTGGTTAACTTGCTTTGGAATGAAAGGACAAATACTTCAAATTTCTAGAGATGAAATCCCGAAAGAAAAAGTACTGGTAGGATTCTGTCCTCTGTGCAACTCTTTTAAACTGGCCTACAGCGGTGGTTTTGTCATTTAGAAATTATTGGTGCTGAAACCAAATTAACTGAGAGGAACGAGCCCCAGTCTGCAGTCACTGGATACATGGTCACTGGCTTTCAACATGGGGATTTGTTTATACAAGTTTATCTCCTCCTCCAGTCAAGTAACAGGGAGAAAGATCCTAATTCAGGAGATTCATTTTCCAAATACACAAATGCTATGGGAAATGACATTCTCTTAATGTTTTTTGAAGTCCATTAGTGCTTTCATGAATCAATGCTGTCAGAGATCTTGTCCTACATAGAGTGGGCAGGATTTCATTTCTCTGATATTAGACAGCTTCGTGCATAAAACTCAGCTAAACTGACAATACTATAAACAACTTATTTGTGGGACTATTTAATACATTCCAAAACAGCGCTGTTTAAGTGAGAAATCTGGAGTCATTCATTGATCATCATCTGAATATTTGTGACCACCACCCCATTACCACTTGCAAGAGTAACCTCTGATATTACTAAGTCCACAGAGGTAAGGATTCAAATGTACCTTACATTAGCAGATCTGTTAGTGAGAAGATATTTAGTGTATAAACAAAGACAGGTATAGAGTTGAGAAGAACCAACTTGGGCTAAAATGATACTTAGTGGGGGGAAGTTTTGCTGGTCCTGAAACTCCAGGCCAAACATTTGGAAAGAAAGAGGCAAGTTCAGGGATATGTTTGGTTGTCTCTATTGGTTTTTAATGATCCTTTGTAAACAAATTTCCATTTCAAATATTCTCCACCATTGTCAAAGTCACATGTTACATTAAGTGATGATATTTCACCCAGAAGATGATAATTCATACAGGGTGCCAATAATACAACTGAGTTAGAGATATGAAAAGGTAAGTACTGGGACAAAATGGACAGTGTGGTTAGTGGGTACAGAGCCAGGAGGCTTGCCATTCCGTCTCTACCATTTACTTTTTGTGTTCATTGACATCTCAGCCTCTTTGTGCCTCAATTTCCCCATCTATAGAATGAAGATCTGTTGTAGAGATTGGCAGTAATGTGTCTAACGCTTCCTCTCATAATGCTTAGGGCATAGTAAGTATTTAATGAAGAATATTTTCTTTTTCCTTCATTTTGACCTTTCAGGATATGTAGTGCTTTCATACAACATGCACAATGAAGGCCAGTCAAAATTTAACTTCAGCAGACCAAGAAGCACAGTGACTTTCCTTTGACATCCAGTTATCTCTGCTTCATCCTGGGTGCAGTTCCTGTCCCTTCTCCATCCTGCAACTTAAGAGGAAGCAGGATGGTTTACTAGGCCTGTGATCTGGCTCTGGAAAATTCTGTCCATGGTGGTAGTAGTCTACATTGACTAAAGCCTGAAAGGTTTAATGTCAGTCATACTTTTAAAATTGCTCTTACCAAATGTTTGGCTCTGAAAAAAAAAAAAAGAGTATAATTTTGCTGTTAACCACAACTTGTTTGGGTGTATTTGTGCTCTGAGATGACAGAGTTGGAGAATTTCCAGGGTTCGTGTCTATTCAAACAGCCTCTGTGTATTTTTACCCATGACTCCACTTTTAGCAGTAAAATCTTTTATTTTTTGGGGGGGGAAATACTTGTGAAATTCTGAACTGTAAAGCAGGTAATTTTCAGGAAACTGCAAAATGGGTTAAAAGCTAGGCTGAGAAAACCTCAGTAGCACTTTGGTAGATATTTTGGAAAGAAATGTTACTATCATCCCCAAATGGTTCTTAGAAATACATATATTAGAAAATGTAAGGGGAAAAAGTAAGCATGAAACATATAGATATGCTTGTGCATTTGATATAAGAGGACATAATACGTAGACAAATATCTCTCAGAGTTTTGCTTTAAATAAATTGGTATTTTTGAACTGAGCAAAGCTTCTTGAGTTATGTATACTGTTTCATAAGGGATAAATCACAACATTTTATCCAAAATTATAGTTACCATCTGCCCTTAGTATACATTGAAGATTGACCTTACTGTTCATATTTGCATTCTTATATTCTTCAAGCGAGAAAATCAAATTAAGAAATGCTAATGAGAAATAAGATTTGATCCTTAAAAGTCATAAAAGCTTTTTTCACCCTCCCCTGAGGATATGTGAACAGATTCAATTTACTATGTGCATACATTTACTCTGGATATATGTGTTTTCAAAATATCTGAAGAATTATTGCTGTGAAAAAGTATAGAAACATCTCATTGGTCATGTCTATAGACAGGCACTTTTAGCACTTAATTAATTTTAGAAAATAGGCATTAGCTTATTCCCATTGCCAGTACAGATTCATTTTACATGTGACCAAATCCATAGCACTTAATCTTGTCAACATGCAGCTATGCCTAAAAGCAATTCTTCTGGAATTCAAACAAGAATAAACACCTGTATTGCTTTCTGCTTTTCTTTTTTTTAATCAAGAAGTATTTTGCAGAGGAGGAAGAAAACAGGAAGAGAAAACAATCCTAGGTGATCTTTAGCACAAATAAATTCCTATTCTCTCTACAGGAAGAAAAGACATTAAAATTTGTTGTCTGTAGCAACTTAAAATGACTTCAGGAAGTTTTCAACCATTCTTACTAAACCATGATGCATGGTCACTCTGTTTTGACAGAAGATAGAGAATGTGTTCTGATAAGGTGGGACTGAGTTCCTATGGCAATATCGCTAATCGTGTGTAACATACACAAGGCAAACCTGAATACGATTTTTTTTTATTGTGATGAAAACTAGAAGCTCTTTCTCCCAACATACTTCATCAAACTATTTACAACCTCTGTAAAATCTGCATGTTTGAAAATATTTTTCCACTATCACATGTTATGAATACAGTAAAATATCTTCACTCTATTTTTAAAGATGCAGTATCCTTCTATATCATTTTATGAAAAAAATCTGAATTTCTATCGCAATTTCTTAGTATTTAGCATATTTAAAATACCAATGGACATGAGTCACTAAACAGACATTACTCTATAATGTAACTGTGAAAATATAGCATCTTTAATCTTTATGTACATTTCTTAGCTATAAAATGCAGGCAAAGTCATATTATAGTATTAGAAGCTGAATCCCTAATAAGGTAAATAACTTACATTTCTAGAGGGTATGGATTATTACAAATTCTTTCCTTAAAAAAAGGGTCTGATGATATTTATTAGCCCAATGGCTACTGCATATACAGGTGTGTGCATATGTGTGCATGGGTTGGGTGTGGATATTTGTCCAGGTAAGTGGAAGGCAGTGTGGGGAGAAGTAGAAATGTAACATGGAAGACATGATTTCCTAAACCCCTGTCCTAAACCAAATCGAATTGAGAACAAATTTATAATAGAAGATGTACTATCTCTCAGAAAAAGTAAAGGAAGAGATTTGTCAATGATGATGGTTAATAGGCTATATTTACCTGGTAAGTTCACAGGTATTAGTGAGATCAACGTCCAAGAGTGAATTGTGAACTATGAATATTAAGGCTTCCTGGGCCTGTTAACAATTCTCCAGCCATCTCACATTCAGTCCCTTCTATGCAGACTGGGGCACAGATGCTGGTATTAACACTGCTTAAATTCTGTGAGTCCTTACTGTGGCTGCTAAGACAGCTTTAAAACAACACCACAACTACATTTCTAAGTATTCATAACAACATAATGAAAGTGTATTGATACACGTTGAAGGCCTCACCTCATCAGATGATTCAAGTGCAGCTTTGGTAAGTACAGATAAATAAAGTACAGAATAAGGAATACTGCATCTTTATCCATATACATGTTATCAGGCTATTGAACTGATTTCAAAGTGCAGGATCATATTGACGTTTAAAACACAAATGGATATTTGAAATTAAAACATGATGCATACAAATGAACACAATCTTCATGTAAACTATTCCAAATTTCAACCGGAATGAAAGTAGCCCTTCTAATGATCTACAACTGGCATCTATAAACACAACAGCATTTTATAAGACTTTTCCCCCCCAACAATTTATCTTCCTATTTCCCACTTTAATTTTAAAGTGAATAAAAAGTGCTCTCTCTTTTAATGTGGTTTGTTACTGATACTCAACTGATTTTGAAAACAAAATGTCCTCTTATGTATTTTGAAAAAGGCAGTGGTATAATCTTTATGGTCAAGTCATTAAGAATCGCATTCTAAATGCCTTAATAGAACTTAAGACAAGTTATCAAGTAGAGACCATACCACTCACAACAGGAGGCTAAAGGCAGAGGAGGAAGTATGAATCTTTTCAAACAAGATCAAAATATAAGGGACTCTACTAAAAACCTTCAAATAACATTAACTCCCTTTAATCAACCTATACAATGCAAAGAGAAAAGTCAAGCCTCTGGCAGCTACTTCTATGTCACAGTTATGCGTATGAGAATTCCCAACCATGCCATATCCTAGCTGTGAAACCAACCACTTCACGGCTAAACCAAAAGAATGTTTCTAGTTAGGGAACAACTGAATCTATCCCTTTTCTGTAGTTTATCATTGCACTGTGCTTTTCAGAAGAAGCTAAAAAGACCCATGAGATGGAATAGTGGCTTTTCTATACCTAAAGATATTCCATTTCATTCTGTCTCAAATCACTTTCCTTTTACCTGAGGAAACACTTTTAGGAAATACTCTCATCAAGGAGAATTTGTGATGTCCCAACACAAGCCCCAAGTAAGTTTCGGTTGCTAGGGCTAGATCAGAGACTCATTCACTTACATGTGCTTGGCTCCCTTCTAACAGTATTGCCACGTCAAGACAGGGAAATAGGATAATGCGGACAGGATCGATTAGTTAACTTACCATCTCAGTGTGGTTCCCATTTCCGGAGGGTGGCGAGGACAGCTCACTTCCCCAAATCTTTCCTGTAATAGGGGGTGTGCCACCACATTTAGTTCTGTGCTAAACTTAAATCCAGATCCTGTCAGTTCCATAAGTTCTAAAAACTGTTACCTACCTGCAGTGCTCTACTTTCAGTGGAGAAAAAGATTGGCTCTTCTTAAGAACAGGCAGAATAAACTAAACTCTATACCTGAGTGATTTCCCTCACTGGTTCTGGGGGCCATGTTTGGGAGTTCATAGCTATTCAGACTCTTTCTCTCTGTGTGTTCTTTCCACTGACTAGTAATCAGTACTGGCTGGCATACACAACCCCCCACCCCTTTTTTTTCTATTCTGAATTGGTCACGTGCATTGAGACATCTAAGTTGTATACAGTACAGATAAAAAAAAGTTCCAGTTGGTAAAAAAAAAAAAAAAAAAAGCCTACTGGTTAATCGGTAGCAGATCATAGCTGAAGAAGCTATTTATCAATTAAACTAGAGCCCTTGTTAAAGGGAAACTACCTGATGAGTTTTTCAGACCTGGCAGAAAAAAAAATAGACCACATACTTTTGTAGTTATAATTTGAGCTGAAATTCATTATACTGTTGCTTGAATACTTAAGTAAAATTTCTTTTACTATTTTCTGACACACATCATCCTGGTTGCAATGTTCATAGTCCTTGATTCATCAGAGTAAGATTATCTGAATTAGATGATCCTAGAAAGGATAATTCTCTCAGCAGAAATTGTTTCTGAATGTTCAAACACCTTAAAAATGAGCTAGGAATATTTCTGAGGTTATTTTGTGCAGTTCTTCAAATCAAGTGTTTCTAATTAAAATACAATGCAAAGGTCATTGCTGGAGACCTTTTTTACCTAGCTATTAAAAAATCCTAACAACAACAACGAAAGTCTTACCTAGCCCCTTTGCCACATAAAGCTGGAGGAAAAAACCCCAGAAAGCAGAAAACACAACCCAGCTTTCTGTGGATTAAAAAAAAAAAATAGATGATAATTTTCCCCAAAAGAACGTTGGTGATGTATTGCTTTATTTACTGTAGTCTTTGCTAGCTGTAAAAGGTTCCTAGTTTTAGGAGGTTAGATGGGACTCTACTTTGCTCTCATCCTAATTCCAGGATGAGAAAGGTTCACTATCCCTGCAGATGCCAATCCAGGACCAGGGAGTCCTGGTACAGTTTAGAAAATGAAATGTGTAAAAAAGATCCTATGGGAGAGTTGCTCTTCTTGGCTCTCCATGAGAGAAAACTAGCACCATGACAGGCTTTCTAGGGGCGGGCGCTGTTTTTCTATTGACTCAGGCCCACAGAGAACTGACCTGCTACCCGAAGAGTTCATTCCTGGCTATGCCTCCCTCATCCTTTCTAGTCACCAAATAATTGTAGAAAAGGGGAGTGTAATCTTTAATTGTGGTACCCAACCAAGCACAACAACCAACAGAAAGATTACCTCAGGGCTGGAAATATAACCAAGACATCTAAAATGCTGGGGTACTTTTTTTTTTTCCCCCTCCCCTCTCTCCACAATTCCTTTAGTAAGTATAAAAACTGGTAACGTGAGTACTCAGTAAAGTTATTGTAGAGAAGTCCTTTTATTCATTATTGCTTTTCTCCTTGAGAGGTTCATTATTTCCTCTGCTTTGTCTGATTTTTCATGTCCACTGACTTTGCCTTGGCAGCCCCACCTCTTACCTTGGTGCCAATGTGTCTAAGAAAGTCCCCCTAACCCCCCACTTCCTTGTAACCAGACACTAGGGGCAGGAAGAGATGATGCCTGGGTGACAGAACACTGTAGTTTGAAGTGGGGCAGTAGGTTTTTGTTTTTGTTTTTGACAGGCTCTTCCTATTCAACTACAGAACACCTCTGGGCCAATCCATGGCAGGGCAGAGACTTCAGGACTAGACTTCAACTGAAATTCTGCTGCCCCTCTGCTCAAACAGATGAACGAAACGACCAGAACAGAACAAAAAACACTCAAGGACAAACAAATGAAAGATTCAATGTTGGTTTTCTTCAGGGCATGGCATGATGACACGTTGCGGGTGGGATTCTAACGGCTGCCTTCGCTACTGCAGAGGGCTGCTGAGTTTGCCTTTATTTTTCAGGTAATGGAAACTCTCCCACAGCTTCTTCCTTCCTATGTTCATGCTGTTTTGCTGGTAACAGATCGGATGTGTGTTCTAGCTCACTTAGGAACTAAAAGTTTTGTAGAAAGGGGCTCCCAGGGTAGGGATGATGGGAAAATCATTCAGATCGAAAAGGTCTTGCTCTAGCTATCAATTTGTGGTAGCTGACCTAGAAGATATTGATAACCAAATGTCTGACAGCTTGGAAAATGTATAAGCTACAAACATCTGTCAATGGCAGAGGACAACAACTCGGAAAACAACTGCCTGGCTCTTCCGGAACGTGGGTAGCGCTGAGCTCTCAGGCCAGCGTGAAGAAGACGTCTCTTGCGTGGTCGTGATGGGGATTACCTTCAGTCGGAAAGGAGAAGTGGACGTTCTGGTTCCTGCTCTGGTGTCTGACATCGTGGGATGGTGATGTCCTTGGCGTTAACACTGTGAAGGGGATTCAGCCCTGCTGAATTGGATGCCACTAAGAGATCCAGCTCTTCCTCCCAGCTGGACGAGGGGCCTGCTTCACACGAGCATGTGCCTCCGGCGGTGCAAGGCCAGGTGATCGGACCGAGAAAAGCTGCGGTCACAGTCTGCACACTTGAATGGCTTCACTCCCGTGTGTTTGCGGTAATGCCTCGTCAGTTCATCTGAACGGGCAAACTTCCAGGTGCACCCTTCCCAGGTGCACTTGTAGGGTTTCTCTCCTGCAAGACACAAAAAGGACACAGCTTTGGTGCTCCACGACTTTTCCATCACAACCCTGGCAAGCCTGGTGTGCTGGGGGAATTGTTGTTCTCAATGAGTTTTCCATTTGCCACATCTTTGGAAACCTTACCCATCTCACTGGCAAGGTTTGGGGGTCAGAGAGGTGAGGGGTTTCATTTCATCTTTCCTGCTCTGCTAGTCGGCAAGTGAATGAGCACTTGCATTCTCAGCTATGAAAAGCCAAAGTATCGAATGGAATACACTGATTTCCCTGGGTATAATCGTATAATCGCCCCTAGTGGACAAAAAAAGAAGAAAAAAAAGAGCAATATTAGAACTCTACCCAGTCTGACCTGGCTCTAAGCCTGGAAGCTGTAAGAATCATAAAGGGGAATTAGTAATGGTTTGTTTCAACAAGTTCTTCTTCATATGCATCACTTGGATAGTTTCGGATGATTTGGGGACACAGGACCCATTTATCAGGCAGTGAAAGTATACAGACTTCTTCATGAAAACCCTCAGAAATTAGGAACCCAGGATTCATACACATCTACCTTTCACTTTTCCGTTGGGCAATGAGTGTAGTAGACGCCTTAGCAGTGTAAGCAGAAGTACAGTTTTCAGGATTTAAGAATTAGGAGGGGGAGCCTGAGGAGTCCTGAAGCTAGATCAAATGTTCAAAGTCCTTGCAAAAAGAAGTCTGAAGAAGTATGTAATTTGACCGGGGCCCTTCAGTCAATTTGTAAGGACAGTAAAATATGCAAAGGCTGTGCTGGGAAAAGATACAGTAGCCATTGTCCTACAGACTCCCCAGGGATCCAGGACAATAGTTGACCCAAGTACACTCTTTTTCTTGGTTTCCTTCAGAAAGGAAACCCTGTCCCCACACAACCCCACAAAAACTGGTCTCTCCTTCCATCCATTATATGTAGCCTGTGTCTTGGCCTGCGAAGGAGGGCCTTGGAGAAAAGGCAAGGGAGGGAGCTATTTGCTAATCCTTATGTTCGAGACTGCAAAGTTAAGCATTATTAACACCACTTTACAGATGAGAAGGCCAAGACTCAATGCAGCGAAGCAATGCACTGAAGACCAGTGAGAAGCTGTGTGTGGCTCTGAATCCAGTGCCTTTCACTATTCTGCAGAGGTAACAAACAATGTTTTTACCCTATCTCAACTTGGTTGTGTCTTCAGAGAGAGATGGCTCCTTTTTCTTGGTTAGTCTCAAATTACTTTTTTTTCCATGTTCAGAAATTTTAATTAAAATGTCCAAAATGGTATATATACATTTACTGAAATGTGAAGGGTATCGTTTTATCACATCTTATTTCTTTTAAATTACTATCAGAATATTCCACAAAGATTTTGTTTTGCTATCTTTCTCTTCTACCAATTGTTGGGTCTTTTTGGAGTTCACGGACCCTTTTTCTGCAATTTCTGTATCTTCAGAGCCTAGAACTGGTTCCAAGAAAGTATTTGGATAGATTAGTAGCACTGAGAATGTGTCGTATGTGAGTGCATACACGTGTACACACAGGAAACTAAGTCCTATAAATGAGATATACAGGCAATGCCTACATGGGAAAACTAAAGTAGATTCATTCAACTGTTAGATGAATGCTGTCTATAAGGATTTGTTAGGATCCAGTAGTCCTTTTGGAAGAGAGTGAATATGTAGTTTAGCCTATTACATCTAGAAAAATGGCTTCATTAGTTGAGGTTCCTAAGAAGCTCAGGTTACTCTAATAAGAATCTTTTTAGTAAAAGTCTACTGATGGAATAGACTCAAAATCTTAACTGGTTATTCAGTCTAACTGTTCCAAGGAGAGAAAACCAGCGTTTCCATGTCTATTGATTATAGAATTTGACAGAAATCAAACAAAAACTCAGCAAACTTACAAGAGTGGTGATCTATAATAGACCACATCAATGACAATTGTGTGCTTTTCAGCAGGTTAAATGCCATCTCTTTTTGGAATTTCTATCATGAGCGCAGGTTCTGATATTAATCTTGATATAAAATCCAATCCTTCAAAAATACATCCATCTTTGGAAGCATTGAGCTCAATGTTTGGAACCAATGAGGCTCTAAGCTAGGTCCTATGCTGTGGTACAACCAGCCAAGGGTGGCAAAGCTCCAGAAGGAAAGAATAAAGGATCTTCTTAATGGGGAAATAACCACTTCTCCACCGTACAGAAGGAGATTGTGTTTTTCTGTTTTCAGGAAGTAGCATATGGTATTAGAACCTGCTCTCAGCTGCAGAAAGCAGAAGGAGGAGCTGTGTGACTGACAGCCTGAAGATGAGTAGCAGACGAAGCAGGCAAGAGACCTCAGCAGCGCCTCCAGGAGGATGTGTGAGGCTGGCATGGTCCAAGGCAGAGACACATGATCATTCAGGTGCTGTCCTGTCCATTTATCTTAGGAACCTAATTCTCTAATTGACTCCTTGAAATACTTAAGTCATATATTCACTTTTGTTTGGGGAGTTTAATAAAGGCATTTATGACCTTTTTTACTTGAAAGTCTAGAGAAGGAATTTTGGTTGACTATAGCTCCTGTTTTTAAGTTTTTAATAGTTGAAAAAAAAGATCCAAAGAGGGCCATTTTGTACATGAAACATATTTTAGTGTCTGCAAACAGGTTTTTATTAGAACATAGCCACGTTGGTTTTGTTTACAGATTGTTCTGTTTGTTTTCAGGTGAAGGCAGAATTGAGCAGTTATAACCTAAAACATGTACCACTCCATGCCTATTTACTATCTAGCCCTCTACTGAAAGGCTGACCCCAGATCAAAGGGATGGGCACTGCTTTTTGTATGCTTCTTGAATATGTCAGTTGATAGAACTGGTGTACACATTTAATGTAGTTAGTTTAGGATGGGGCGGGGGTGGGGCGTGAGGGAATATTTTGGTTATGTTTTTCACAGCCTCAGATTACGCATCTCAATTCAAATTTCAAGTAATTTTAGAAATAAACACATATGGCATTTCTTTTTTTCCACTTTCCACAATAACTATGTGTAAACATAATTTCCTTTACCCTTACATCACTGGGAGGCAGCAATTATACATGCATTTAGTTATTTTTAACTGTGAAATTAAATTTTAACAGATGAATAAAAACTGCCCATATTTTGGGGATACTATGTGGTGTTTCGATTTTTTTTTTACATTGTCAATATTTAAATCAGGCTATATATATATATATATATATATATATATATATATAGTTTGAGGATATATATATATATATATATATATATAAAGTTTGAGGATATATATATATATATATATATATATATATATATCCTCAAACTTTTATCATTGGTAAGGGAAACCTACAAAATCCGTTCTCCTATTTTTTGAAATATAGAGTACGACACCATTATTTAGGTTCACTGTGCTTTATCTCAGAAGTTGTACACACACACACACACACACACACACACACACACTCATGACAGGGGTGGGTGGAAGCAAGGGTTTATCTGAAACCACAGATGCGCAGCAAAGAAAACAGAGTAAAAGTGAAAAGCAGTTTGTGAGTATAACCAAGTATAATACACAAACATGAAAAACAGAGAAACAGGCCTCAGAAACACAACTTCCTACTACAGGACACAGAAGCTCATGAGCTGTTGGACCTTAAGGAACAAAGCCTGGATGGACACCTTCTCCAGTAGGGGGAGCTGGAGGAGGAAGCGAATCTCAAGAGTAAACTTAATTATCTGAGGGATAAATGACTTTCTCTGGAAGTCGTCATTACAAAAATGGATCATTTCTTTCTGCCACCCAAAACTTAAGAATCTTATGCATAATATTCATAGCCCTTATTGCCTTATATTAATTCTTTTAATATTAATGCATTTCTATTCATTAAAAAATAGGAGAAAAAGAACAAAATCTTCAAATCACCTTTCAGAATTAGAGGCTAAATGATGAAGTGCTTGGGAGAACATATAGCTCCCAGGCTAGGCCTTCTTTCCTTGCTCAAAAGAGATTACTCCCACCCCGAACCTTTCATCCAAAAGGTATCAATAAATCATACAGTGCTCTCCTTGGACTGGTAGAGTTGCACAAATGGATAAAAATATTTTTAGTACCTATTGTATTATTTTCTTATATAATATTTATATGAATGCTTTGAAAAAACTTAAAGGATATAATCTTATAAACATATTAAGCTAATAGGTGTTCAATTCATGACATGAATACAAAGCTAATTAAAATGATGAAATTCATAAGGCATATAGCGTATGTATAGATGAGTCTTCTGAAAGGCTTTAACATTAAAAAAAAATCTTTCCTTTCAAAATGTGCTAGAACACAGAAGGCTAAATATACTTTTTAAAGGTCAGTGGAGGGAAAGAATGGCAGTTGAGTTTTCCATGTCGACGTTCCTATGGAAAGAGTTGGCTTGGATGATGTAAGGAGATGGGACACTTCCCAGAGCCCAACAGCTACCACACAGAGCTGCTTTGCTCCACACAGAATGCCAGTGGCAGTGATGGGGGTTTCCACGAATGTCTTCCACGAATAGCGCAGTATCCTAGAATTTATCTGAAGTATAAGAGTACAAATACCTTATTCCAAACTGCTTTGCCCTACAAATGATTTGGGAATAAAAACAGATTATGTGTTCTTTGCTCCTTCTGCCTAATCTACAAACACAAACACCAAACTTCTTTGACAAAATCCGTGAAAATGTCTTTTTCAAAATAACATGGTTTGATCTTTAACATCAGATCATTGATTCTGGTTTCCTATATTAATCCTATGAAATAGTGAGGAAAAGTTATGATCCAGTTTCTCCTTTACCTTTCCTTTCTCTCTTTCCCTCTCCCTTTATTTCTGAGAAAAAAAGAGAATATACGTAATACATACATATATATATAATGTGTGTGTATAATATACACATATATGTATTATTATATGTATTATATAATCTATATAATATGCACACAATATATAATATACATATATTATTATTGGTATGTAATTATGTGTATATATTATATATACATATCATATATAATATATAGACAGCTATACAGATAGAGATTAGCAATACGTTTTGGGACTTTTGGTAAACATGAAGTCATCAGTATATAAAGAAAAATCAAAGGTCATCAGATAAAATCTTGGTGGCTAACTAGGTGACACTGCTAGACTCTGGGGTACAGTTTTGTAACTTCTAGGTTTTCAGTTCTGCAGTGATTCTATCATCACAAATTCTTAGGCCATCTTCACTATTTTTATATTAATAAAGCAATCTGACCACTTTTAATCTTAAAAAGGATTTTTTTTTTTTTGCAAGTCCTGGGGCTTGAACAACTCAGGGCCCTGGCGCTGTCCCTGAGCTCCTTTTGTTCAAGGCTAGTACTCCACCACTCGAGCCACAGTGCCACTTCTGGCTTTTTCTGTTTATGTGGAACTGAGGAATCAAACCTGGTTTGGTCCGTGCTAGGCAAACACTCTACCACTAAGCCACGTTCCCAGCTCCTGGCTAATATTTTTTTGTCCTAAAATCCCTCAACTCCACTTTTGGAGTTCATGTTAAATGCAAATTTATATAAATAAGCAGTCAGTTTTTCTCCATTGCTCTCCTTGCTCCTCTCCTTGCTTCTGCCTCTCTCCTCCCCTTCCCTCTCGTTCTCCCTCTACTACTCTCTTTTTTCTCCCTTTTCTACTCTGTTCTCACAAGTATTATTCAAATAAAGCAAATGTTCTGGGACACTTAATTAAGCGTCCTGGGAAAATAACAAACTCACATCAGAGTTTTTTTCTTGAAACAGTCAATACACACTGATTTATTATGAGAGGGTTTTTCTCTTTCCATTTTAGTTAAAGGAAAGGATTAAGAGTCACTCAACGCATTTCCATGACATTTACCCAGCAGAAGGCACAATACAATCTAAAGAAAACACAAGTATTGAATGGATTCCCCAAACTGACCAAACAAAAATAACTGTTTCAGGCACCTCCTATTTCAGCTTGTGAATTGCTGAAAGGTAAATGTGCACTGAGACAAAAGGCAGGTGCCCTTGCGTATGAAAATGACGGGTGAGACATTCACTTAGGAGGAATGTGCAGTTCAAAAGGCCTGCGTTAAACAAAACACGGTGTTCTCATCAGCTTCTGTTATTTTCTCAAGCAACGAAAAGAACACCTTTGGCAACAGGAAGCATAGGCATTTTCTTAGGTTCAGAAGTGCATTTATGAAATATGTCCCTGTTTAACTTTTATAAAGTTACAGGGACCAGACACTGACAAATGATCTTCATTACATTCAAGGCTCAACATATTTGCTGTGACAATCTGTTTCATGAGGAATGGAATTTGCATACGAGGGTGGGGGGAGGAGAGAAACACACACAGAGAATCAAGATGCCTATCTTGTCTTCTGGTTTCTGTTAAAATAGTTCATGAAAGTTCACAGAAATCTAGATCTGGGAGGAAATTAGGTACTTTCAAGATGAGGAAACAGAAAGCTGAGACCAAGAAAGAGCTGAGATTACCTGAGTCAGCCATGACTAGACCAGGCTGACCTGTCTTTTGGGGGGTTAAGGTGGCATAAACTATCTTTATCTTTACAATCAGGCAGAAGGAATGGCCAAATAAATACAGACCCAATCTCCAGCCTGCTGCTGGATCAGAGAGGCTGGAGAGTCCAGCTGCTTAGAACACAGCTTCTTCAACTGTGCGCATGCTCCCTACTCTTAATGCGTGGCTACGGAGCACAAAGCTACACATGCCTTGTGTTTGATGAATGCAAAATGTTCAAGAAAGAAAATGTCATCTTGTAGTTAGGAAATCCAAGATTTGTCCACGTTTACAAAGAAATACAAGTGATAGGTCAAAAATAGATCCTGCTTGCTATTTTTAAGAAGTGAATTAAGATTTTTGGCTAACTGCTACCTATCCGGATTCAGACTTTTGGAAACATTCAAAGGCTAAAAATCACTGAATAAACCAAACAGACTAATGTATTACTTAGAGTGTTTGATTCACTTTGTCTTGTAGATTCAACTAAACACATCATCAATATGCTGGCCTCTACTCCCTCCAACCCCCCTAAACTGTCTGAACTGACTTAAATTATTTCTAACTCTAACTCCAAGTAAGTCCCTAATTAGTTATCCATGCCATTCTATAATGGATACTTTTATTAAAATATTATTCTGTGAAACATACAATGCTTTCCATGTACCTTACTTGTCTTTTAAGAGCTTTAGGACATTAACCCATGTAACTTTGACATCTTCCCATTGGCTCAGTTGTAATAACTACTTCACCAAGTCATTTAGTTAGTATGTATCTTACTTAACCACAACTCCACTCCACATTTCAAATCACTGCTTTAATAAACCAGAATATCTGGTTAAAACCGGACAAGCAGACTGAGAACTTGAGTTCTAACTTACAAAACGGCATGGCTACTACACAACCTATATCCTGAAATATCCTATCACAAACATACTAGCTGTACAGACTTTAAAGTCAAAGAACGTTCTTTAATTTGGCTGTCCTGAATTTCTATTTCCATGTGATGACAACACTCATTTTCTTCCTTTGCATCTGCTTCTTTTTTCCTTCAGTTCTTTTTGCTGAGACTCTACCTTTTACCTATCCCAAGATCCTGTCTTTTTCTTCTCACCAACTCAAGTTTCTCCTTGGTTCCCATGACATTCACTATAGCTTACAAAAGAAAGATCCCAAAGTATCTACAACTCCATTTTGCTCCAAAGACCAGAGATATGTCCAAACTTGTTTATGATTTACCATCTAAATAAGACCCGATCTTCTGATCTGCTGTGAGTGCAATGTGGACTTATTCATCTCTCCAGCTGGACAAATTTCTAAGACTCTTCAGTCTAGAAGGAGAATGAGTATTCCTTCATTGCCCCAGTTGGATCATTCCTTTTGCCAGCTCTGCACATGGAATACTTGCTCAGCTAACCTCTCTAATTTATTTCCACAGGGGTGGTCTACCTTTCCTTAGTTTTATGGCTTTGTTTTCCTGTATTATGTTTTAGCCCCTCCTGTTTATTTTCTGCCTCGCACTGAAAATGGCCTAAAGTCCCCTTCCCCACTGTATCCCCAGGGCCCAGCTCAGTGCTTTGTACTAATAAATACTTGTTGATTAACTGAATGGAAACCACTGTAACTCAAATACTTCCTTTCCTTTTAAAAATAGAACAAAGAGGCAACAAAAAGTAATCTACTTTGTGAGACACAGAGTGAATTGCTCACATTCTATTCATTCTAAGATCTTTTCTAGTCTAATGAATTAGAATACATACTTTGGAAAAGAAAAAGAAATTTGAGAGTCTCATTTAAGCTAGTGCTACGCATACAGCTTATTTCTACAAAAAATGAAACCCCATCTTAAAAAAAGTCTTTTAAGGTTAGCAACATAATTTAGTCTTGTATTTTGTTGCTCATATGAACACAATTTTAATGTGTGTTTAAGTGTGTGTGTTTGTTTGCATATATGTGTGTGTGTATGGTATGTGTGTGTGATGCTGTGATCAAACCTAAGGCTTTTAGCACAAGAGGCAAATGCTCTATCACTGTTTATTTTCATCCTTAAGGCAATACATTTACTTTGTAATTCTTTGAATTCTTAGTTACGAAGCCTTTTAGTTGAATTAACATTGAACATTATGAATAAACATTTTACATATTCTTTAGTGGTGACTATATAACCTACTAATATAGTTCCCTGTTATCTTTATTTAGTAATTCCATTAAAAATAGAAAGGTCAGCCAGGTGTCAGTGGCTCATGCCTGTAATCCTAGCTACCTCTATCTCCAAAAAATCACCGGAAAACTGGAAGTGGCTCTGTGGCTCAAGTGGTAGAGTGCTAACCTTGAGCTGAAAAGCTGAGAGATAACACCCAGGCCCAGAGTTCAAGCTCCACAACCAGGAAAAAGAAAAGAAAAGAAACAAAACGAAACGAAATGAAAAGATCCTAGTAACAGCAGTTAAGTTTGCCATTCCAGATAAGATGACGAACAATAAATATATAGTTCTTCTCAGATAGAACATGAAAAAAGGACATTGTTAGAACAGCTCACCCCTCACTCTCTTCACGTGGCTTTGATGGGTATGCAGATACAATAGATCCCAAAGCAGAGAGAGGTCCCTCAAGACACCATAATAGTTTTAATTTTCTACCATTCCTCATTGATCTATTTGCTAACATCAATAGAATCCAAACCCACAAATTCATTTAGTAATGTATTTTTCTAAATTTAGGGAAACTTCGTTCAATAGAGTAAAACTTTCATAACAACAATGAATCAAAATTGAATCCTACATATACAACACAGTTAACTTGTACTCAGACTATTCATTGTACATCTTAGGTCCGACATGTTTAGCAATTAGTAATTCTCTGATAAGTTTAAGGAACTCCCCCTTCCCCCATTAATGAAAATAAGAGCAATTCTTGTAACATATCCATAGCTTGTCATTACTAATCTAGAGTCAGAACAAGTGAAAGAATGTCCTAGTGTGAGGGGGTACACTAATGTGTTTACTTAGGAGATACCATGCATATCACTCCAGACAGGCCCAATTCCTTCCTCAGTTGCCACTGTGGCAGCCTCCCCAGGTAAAGCAACCTCCTGCCTCTCCCATGTGCTGTTCACAGCACATGAGGCTGTCTCCCACACCAGACTAACTGTCTTTATCTTTAGACTACCCATTAATATGCAAAGGACTATGCACCGAGCAAGCGTCATTTAATCTTAGTTAATGATGAATGCCTTTGATTCACACTTCTTCACTGGCTTTCTAACAGGTAAATTTTTAATAGGCTGGAGTTCATATTAGTGAAAAGCCTTAAACATAAGACTATTAAACTCTCTGGCTATCTCATTACTTCAGTGTATCTGAAAGGGAAATGTTACATCAGTGCTGCCATGTAGATGGGCATAGCAATCTGTCCGTGGCAAAGAGATGAGTTAGGCAGACTATTAGCAAGCTTGTCTGAGCCTGGGTGTGATGACAATGGCACAGGGCCTAGAGAAACCAGGGCCTTAGTCCCAGCTTTACTGCTTTTCCAACATCCAGACATAGTCAGGTGCTTTAGCCCCACCTCCTTCCAGGGATTTACATAGGCAATGTAAGTGTGGAAAGCACAGCTAAGCACCATGCTTGGGACATGGCAGATCCTCCCACCTGTGATCTATCTGTCTTTGTGAATAGCATTCTTTACTCCTAACCACACACACTAGACATCTCCAAAGCCTTCCTTACCCTTAAACTCATAGCCAATCAGCTGCCACATCTGATATTCCTATGGCTTCAGTGTTGCCCAGGTACCCTTCCTTTCTGCCATCAAACTACTGTAACAGAATGTATAGAGCTGAGGGGGTCCTGGAGCATGGGGTGTCTGCTCACGCAGGAAAGGAGATTGGTCACAGAACTGAACAGACAAGATGATACTGAGGTGTTTTAAAATTTACCCACTGAAGAACTAGGAAGGAAGAAGAAAATGAGGTACTTCAGCCAGGGGGAAAAAGTTCCTCTCTGCCAGACACATCTGGAGATTCATTTATAGGTATGGCTGAGGAATGGTGTCCTTTGTCATGACCATATAGATGAGTCTTTTCTAGTATATTTACTGAAGAGCTCACTGAAGATGAACTATACATTTTTCTGCCTTTTTGATTGAAAAAAAAAAACTTCCATAGAGATCAAGATAATGCTTAATAAATAAATATAAATGACTCCCTTTTCAAGTGGAATATGGCAATGTTTTAGAAAGAATTAAAGATATATCCTCTAAACATTATTTAGTATTATGGTGACAAAATGGGTTTATGAAACAATAATTAGCTTTACTTCCAAACATCTGCAATGCATAAATTTTAGATTTAGTAGAGTCTCAACTGAAGAGACTATATAATTATAAACCAAAGGTCAGGGGCTCACACCTGTAATCCTAGCTATTCAGAGACCTGGCAGATAGATTTGAAGCCAGCCTAAGTAGAAAAATGCTTCAAGACTCCTCTCTAAAATAACAAGCAAAAAGCTTTGCTGGGGTTGTGGCTCAAGCAGCAGAGCACCAGCCATAGGCAAGTGTGCTGCATGAGAGTATAAGACCCTGAGTTCAAACCCCAGTACTAGAAATTTAAAATTTCTCTTTCTCTCTCTAAATCTCTCTCTCTTTCTAAATCTCTCTCTCTCTCTCTCTCTCTCTCTCTCTCTCTCTCTCTCTCACACACACACACACACAACACACACACACACACATACAATGACTAAATTGTCTGGATTTAAAATTTTGAGTCTTCGGGTCACAGTAACATAAAACAACAGCTATATCTATATGCATATAATTCTAATTCAAATAATTATTGAGTCCCTATGCTATGTTAGTCACTGTATTTGAGATATAAAATTATGTAATAAGACTTATTTTTCTATAAGACTTGGCTCAAAGTTAAAAAAGAAAACCTGAGATTCATACAAGTTAGGTAGCTTCTCTAAGTTTACCAGTTAGAAGTGAGAGTCAGTTTCTAACACTTAATTCTTGAGTTCAAACTTAAGCTGTACTTTGGTTATAATTCTCTCATGTCAAGCCAGGCACCAGTGGCTCCTGCCTGTAATCCTAGATATGCAGAAGGCTGAGATCTGACGATTGTGGTTTATTTATAATCACCCTGGGCAGAAGGTTCATGAGACTCTTTTCTCCAACTGACCAGCAAAAAACTGGAAATGAAGCTATGGCTCAAGCGTTAGAGTGCTAGCCTTGAGTAGAAAAAGCTAAGGAGTAGTGCCTAGGCCCTGAGATTCAGCCCTAATACTAACACACACACACACACACACACACACACACACACACACACACACACACACACACACTCTTTCATGTGTCTAAATTCCTCCTAAATTCATAATGAAATTGAATCCCATTGTGAGGCTTTAAGAGGCAGGACATCCAAGAGGACTCTACCTTCATTGGTTAATCCAACCATGATGGATTAATGGGCTAATGGGATGTGTGAGCTACCAAATGGGTCTGACCAGTCAGTATAGTCCTTTCCCTCATCTCCCCATATCCCATCCCACTCCAGGACTTTACTAGCAAGAAGAACCCCATCAGATAGGACACTTGAACCTTGGTTTAAAACTGTGAGCCAAAATAAACCTCTTTTCTTTCTTTTATTTTTCTTTGTCAATTGTGGGGCTTGAACTCAGGGCCTGGGTGCTATCCCTAAGCTTTTTTGTACAAGACTAGCATTCTGCCACTTTGAGCCACAGCACCACTTTTGGGTTTTGAATGGTTAATTGGAGATAAGAGTCTCACAGGGACTTTTCTGCTTGGGCTGGCTTTGAACCGAGATTCTCAGATCCTGAGTAGCTAGGATTATAGGCATGAGCTATGATCTCCTGGTTGTGTGTGTGTGTGTGTGTGTGTGTGTGTGTGTACGCACACATGCTAGGGTTTAAACTAAAGGCTAGTGCTCTACTGGGTTTTTGGTGTTTAATTTTATATAAGAGTCTCCTGGACTTTCCTACCCATGCTGGCTTTGAACCATGATCCTTAAAGTGCAGCCTTCTGAGAACTCAGGGTTACAGACAGGAGCCATTGGTGCAATTTTTAAAAATTACAGGTTAACAGTTTTTACAGTAATTAAAATGAACACTAAAGAGTATTGGCTATAGAGCACCACAGATTAGATGATTTGATATTAATTTAAGAGCATAAAACATTTCCAGATTCAGTTGAAATGGAATATTTTTACAGGGTACATGCACAGTTTTTTTTTTTAACCATTTTTTTAAGCTTAACTTTATCTGTTTCCTTCATCATGAAACTGCCAAAGTCTGCAGAACACCGACAGTCACGTTCCATTTCATATGGTGTCACACACACCAGGAGAGCTCGTTTTCTTTCTTCACACTCAACATCTGGGTCTCGTGCTCCATCTAGTGGCTGTAGGAATCACTGGCGCCTGAGTGTTCCTGTGGTGCACTTTTACAAGTTTCTCTAACCATTATTTTTTAGAATTTTTATTTTTTTAATTCTAAGCTCACTCCCCTCCCTTTCGTAAGTCATCAGTTATAACCCCAATTCTACATTCATTATTTCTGGTCACACAATAACTTACTCAATATGCCTAAAGCAGAGTTAAGGTTAAGAAGATATTTATTAAAAGCATGTAACCCAACCTGAATTTCTATACAACCAGCTTTATTTATCTGGAGGGCAAGTGTAAATCATGTAATATTTAATACAGCCCTTAAAATGAGGGAAATCTAGAGTACTACTTATTCAGAGCACAGATTTGACTGACTACATTGCTCTAGATACTCTGCTTATTAATTTAAACACACTACACACTATTAATCATGTAGAAGAGTCACTGAAATTACACTGGTGACACCATATGACATCTACCATGTAAGTGGCTGCTAAGCTGTATCTTTTTTTAGGGAGAGTCAGACATGGGGCTTGAACTCAAGGCCAGGTGCTCTCATCTTTTTCACTCAAGGCTAGTGCTCTTCGACTTTGAGCCACAAAGCCACTTGTAGTTTTCTAGTGGTTTATTGGAGTTAAGAGTCTCATGGACTTGTTTTCTGCCCTTTCATAAGTCATCAGTTATAATCCCACTCCACATTCATTATTACTGGTCACACGCAATAACTTACTCAATATGCCGAAAGCAGAGTTAAGGTTAAGAAGATATTTATTAAAAGCATGTAAGCCAACCTGAATTTCTGTACAACTGGCTTTGATTTCATTTTGAACACTACCTTATGAAACCTTTTGTATAATCATAAATCAGAATCCAACATGGCTCACTTTGAACCAGTCTGAGGCAATTAATCAAATTTCCTTCCTTCCTTCCTTCCTTCCTTCCTTCCTTCCTTCCCTCCCTCCCTCCCTCCCTCCCTCCCTCTATTCTTTTTGTTGTTGTTGTTCAGGTACTGGGGCTGAAACTAAGGCCTCAAACTCTTGGCTGGCTTTTTCACTGCATTCTACCATTGGAACATGTCTCTACATCTAGCTTTCTGCTGGTTGATTTTAGATAAGAGTATTCTGAATTTGTCTGCTTGGGCAGGTGTATCCTTAGACCTCAGCCTCCCGAGTAGATAGGATTGTATGAGTCACTGGCACCCCTTGTCTCATTCTTTATTTATATTAAAAATGGATATTTGAGCCAAGTGTAGTGGTGTATGCCTGCCTATAATCCCAACACATGGGAAGCTGAGGTTGGAGGATCACAAATTTGAAGCCAACTTGAACTACAGAGGTAAGTTCAAGGTCATCCTGGGATATAGATCAAGACCTTTTCTTAAAATATCCCCCCCCCCAAAAAAAAAAGTTACTTGATAGCTCAGGAGTCTATGCCAATAGATTAGAGTCATCTCTTGGGATTGGAGAGGAATTCCATGCTACCTCAGATATAATACTTGCTAGATGGTCAAGACTCATATAAAACAGATTTACATATGGCTAACAGGCATCTTCCTGAATATGCCAGGTACCCTTCCAGATATCTTATAACATCTAAGACAATGGAAATGACACATAAATAGCCACCATATCATTACAGAATGTCAAGACAAAAAGATTTATGCATATTCAGTACAGATGAAAGTTTTCATTTTTTAATATTTTCAATCCAAGATTGGTTGCATCTACACAGTTGGAAAACCTCAGATCTACAGAGCCAACTATTTCTGTCTGCTAAGTGGATGGCTGTAAGATACACAAATTTGGGTTGGAGGTAGCACCATGATGTGGTTCTAAGCTATTACTTACAGAATGATGACCCACCTGGATGAGTTCTCTAGGGTCTTGCTGTCTCAGGGCATTTTCCTTGAACCGGTCCTAGCCAATACATCCATCAATTAAGTTGGCAAAGATGGAAAAGCTGAAGAAGAAAGCTAACAGGATGGGTGGGGAGGGGTTTTGGCTGATTAGAATGATGGGTCCTGATCAATACCATGTGTACACAATAGTTCCCAGAGTGGAAAAGTTTTGTGCAACCTGAAGACAATGATACCAGAATGAAGATTCTGTCCTGTAGCCAGCCAGTGTCTGTCTATACGCTGATCCCAGGGAAGCCATCGCTGCAGGAGTAGCTCCAACTACAATACAACCTTGCATGTGTGGTCTGAAAGATGGTGATTATAGGTACAAGGGACGAGCTACATCTAGCCAGCAGCAAAAGAAGTGATAATGTTTTGCATGTAACAGAGAAGTCCACAAATGAGACACCTTCCCTTCATGTGGCATGAAGACGTACAAGGACCCAGTGATGAGCTGAGCTATCTGCACAGACAGGATGAGAGGATGGACGGTGTCTGCTTTGGAGAAATGAGGAGTTCAGGAAAACGAGGGGCAGTGATGGAGAAGTTCAAGGTGAGCTCTGAAGGCATCACATTCATCCAGAAGGTTCCGAGATCCAAAGAGGAAACTGTACACTGCAAAGACACCACGTCTCTGCCCTGGAATTTTACCCAGCATGTCTTGCAAAGGAGTAAGATGTTATGTGAAGTATAGAATGGTGAGAAAATGAGCCAGGAGCCATGCTGGAGGAGACAGGATCCTACCAGCTGCATCTACTAGGCTGTTGTGAAAATCAAACAACAGGAAATAGGGATAAGTGTGTGAGAAAGTACACAGCAGCGACTCTTCTCTGTGAGATGACCAGCCAGGGATACTTCCAGTAGGAAGCATACTTGACTCTGCCGTATATAAAGTCCATCGTGACCCTTCAACTCTGTGACTGCGTTTTATTAATAAAGCCAAGCTAGTTAATTGGCCTTCAGCATTCAGGGTGTATAATGCTTTGCGTATTGTGTTACATAAATGGTATCACATCTCCTCTCACAGCCTAAGTTAAAAATCATAAGATGCAATCTTTCAGTGTTATGGAGTTAAATCTTTTAATAGTGCCTGATTAAAAATCCTTTCTGCTGGGTGCTGGTGGCTCCTAGCTACTCAGGAGGCTGAGATCTGAGGATTGCGGTTCAAAGCCAGCCCAGGGAGGAAAGTCTGTGAGACTCTTATCTCCAATAAACTACTCAGAAAACTGGAAGGGTGGCACTGTGGCTCGTGGTAGAGTGCTCACCGTGAGCTGAAGAGCTCAGGCCCAAAGTGCAAGCCCCATGACCTACCAAAAAATAAAATAAAATAAAAATAACTAAATAATTCCTTTCTTTCTCTCACTGCCTTTCTCTGGGATAAGATGAATAGAAGTGTCTGTGTGAAAATGAAGCAAAAATGTGTTCTAGAACAAGAAGAACTCAAAATATATGATGATTCACAGAAGACAGATCAATCATATAGCAGAAATGACTCCATAGAAAGTCAGTAACAAGAACAGTCCACACTTCCTGTATGATTGTAATCACAATCTCCCGATGGGATGGAAACTGTGAATCACATGCATTCTTTGCCTTCATGATAAAGAGGTTGACTTAAAAACAGTGTCTAGGATCTGGGATAAAGACATAGTAAAGAGCATGAACAGCTCTGGACTGATCCCAGCACTGAACAGTCTCTCTTTGTCCATGAGATCTTACAGGCATGAGCCACCAGCACCTGGCTTGTAAAAATGCATTCTGTCCAGAGGAAAGAAACTGATTCAAGACAGACAGCAGTATAAAGCAGTACAATAGCATACTATGGCAGCGCCCTGTGGGGCTCCCACTGACACGGAGGTGAGGGGCCCGTGGAGCTGTACCTGTGTGTGTCCTCCGATGAGCCTTCAGGTGAGAGCTTTTTGTGTACACTTTGTTGCATCCCTCAAAATCACATCTGTGGATGCGCCGTTTCCTGGAGTCGGGGGATTCGGAACGTCTCTGGCGCCTTGTGCTCTCGATACTAAATGGTGAAATTGAACTGGAAAACAGAAAAATGGAGTCATGGAGTAAGAAGCACATCTCTCTCTCTCTCCCTCTCTCTCTTTCTCTCTTCTCTCGGTCTTCTCTCTTCTCTCTCCCTCCCTCCCTCCCTCTTCTCCCTCTCTTCCCCCTCTCTCTTCTCCCTCTCTCTCCCTCTCCTCTCCTCTCCCTGTCTTCTCTCTTTTCTCCCTCCTCTCCCTCTCCCTCTTCCCCTCCCTCCCCCTCTCCTCTCTCTTCTCTCCCCCCCCTTGTTCTCACTCTCTCTCTGGTCTAGCTTAGAATTGGGTCTCATGATGGGGTGGCAAACCCCACAGCCACATGATCCTCGTGTCCACGTTCCCTGCCACCACCTCCTTGGATGTATCTTCTTTTCTCTTTTCTTCTTTTAAAAAGATTTTTTTAAAATTTTCGTTATCCTTAAGCAATTGTACAAAGGGGTTTCCATGCAACCCATCAATCTATGAGTACAGTGCATCTTGATCCCTGTCTCCCTTTCAGCATTTCCCCCATCTCTCCCAACTCTACCCATCCCCTCAATTTACCTAGCTCCATTTTCACATCTGTATACTGAATATTATGACTACATTTGCCAACCTTCCTTTTTCCACTGGTACGCTCCCCCTTGGTCCCCCTACCCCAAAACGCACATTATAGCTTCCTGGTTTTCATTTTGTTAAACAGTCTGTTGTTCACAGGAGTTATACCACTGGAATCCTTCCCTGCATATACCATACTTTAGTTAAGTATGTTTGTGTATATATGCTTACGACCTTGTATATGTTTACACAGTTATAATTTAGATCAAACACCCACATATAAGTGAAAAGTCCTTTCTCTGAGCCTGACTTACTTCACGTAACATTTTTTTTTTCCAGGTCCCTCATTTTTCTGAAAATAACGTATTTATTTCTGATGATTCTCATACTCTGGAGGCTGAGGCAGGAAGATTGTGAGTGAGCTCAAGGCCAGCCTGGGCATCACAGTGAGCTCTGTCTCAAAAACCTAAATCAAACCAAATCAAACCAAAACTTGAACTCAAACTGAGTGAAAGCAATGCTAAGTAAATAAGTTCCTTAGTCAGGAAGAAAAAAAACCCTATGGTAGTAAATGAATACCTCACAGTCTTGGACTTCTGAATATCCCTTACAGAGAATATTTTAGAAAGTCCTGCTCTAGACAAATGACAAAATACATCTATTGAAGAGTCTGCATTTCATGCAGTAACATAAAATTGTGCAGAATCACAGTGCGCATTTCAAAACAAGTGAGGTCAGGCTGAAAGAAATGGCACGGGTACCTCAAAAACATGACTCATAGCAAGCTATTTCTGTGCAATAAAATGCACCTGACATTTAACTTTCCTAGGTGGTGGTTTCTTGTGGTCAGGAATAAAGTGCACTGTATTTAAAGATTAGCTGTACTACTATTATGAAAAATGTTTGAACTATAAAGTTTGGTCCTGACTTGCATGTTGTTTAATCTTAATGCTCCAGTAGAAAAACAGGATTAGTTTGCAATGTCAGGTAATTGATTAGCATGTACCTTTTTTCAAACCTTAATCTCTTTTGATTGAGACAGAAAGTATGACTCATCTTTTCTTACTTACCCATGAAGTTCTTTAGAGTTATTGTGAACTGTGATAAAAAAGTAATCACTCAAATTTCTACCATAAAATCTTACCAGTATTAATATTTTGACACATTTCAGTTTTTGTTTCGATACTTTTAAAAATTAAGTTTCTTACATTTTGACATATTTGTAATTTCCTTATGATTATATTTCTAAGCTAAAATTAGTTTTTCTTAATAAAGTATCTTTTAGCTGAACATTACAAATAAGATCAATTTCCCATGTCTTCCTTTTCCCTCTTCCATGTAATAGTTCTACCATCAGTTTTATTTAGCTCACCAATTCATTTAGGTTATCTATATATAATCTGCATTCATAGGAATACTTAATATCATAGCTTTAAAAATAGCTGAGTGCTGGTGGTTCACACCTGAAATTCTAGGTACTCAGGAAGATGAAATCTGACAGTCACAGTTCTAAGCCAGCCTAGGCAGAAAAACCTGAGAGATTCTATCTGAAATTAACCAGCAAAAACTGGACTGGAGCTGTGGCTCAAGTAGTTCAGTGCTAGCCAAACAGGAGAAGACAAATAACATTATGCTGTTAAAATTATTCTAGCAAGCTATTCTACCTTTGAATATTAAACAGCTGAGATTTTTTTTTTTTGGTCAGTAGTGGGCCTTGAACTCTGGGCCTGAGCGCTGTCCCTCAGCTCTTCAGCTCAAGGCTAGCGCTCTACCACTTGAGCTACAGCGCCACTTCCAAAACAGCTGAGATTTATCGATGTGGATACAAGTAGTTCATATCTATAATTTATCAATTCTCATACGCATTTTTCACATTTTAGCATTTCTAAAAATGTGGATGCTTCTTGCAATTGATGGCTTTTTATAATTCAACTGGCATGTTTTTTATTAATAGTACATAAAGTCCATCTCATTTATTGATTTAAAATAGATGACATTTCAACTTAGCTTAAGGATTGGTGATTTTTTTCCTACAGAGTGAGTTTATTTAGTAAATAGTTTATTTCGGCAATTTTATTTATTTCAGTTAAAACTCTATAGGGTTTTATACTGTGTCTAATCAACTCTGAAATTGAATCACAGAAATAGCTATAGACAGTATGCAAACAAATAAAACTTTACAAAAGCACTGAGTTGCTTTGTTCATAAGCTGCTGTTTGCTGAGTCGTTACTTACAAAATATGATAGCAACTCAGTAAACATTCATCCCAGCGTTTCAAACACCAATTTTGTCCTAAGTGGTGGACACATAAGACTGCTTGTAATACTATACTATTGCATTATTCCAATAAACTGTTTTTGAATATTTCCTTTAGAATGTCTGCTTTTTAACATTCTCAACATGTTGTTTTGCTTCTCCAAATATCACACTAGGTAACCAAAGCTTTATACTAGGTAAGACTAATTATAAATATTGTTTACCTTCCCATGTTGCAGTTATATGCAGGATCTACCCTCCAGTGGAAGAACATAGGTTATGCAAGGCTGAAATGTGGCTAAGTAACTTTTTTCCAACCTTTGTATCAATCAACGTGGATTTGTGGTTTTCTACATAATCAACCCAGTTTGTACGGATTGGAGTTTATTGTGAAAAGAGTCAAAACAGTGTGACTAGTCTATCCTGTGAAAGAGCAGCTTTTAGTCACCCCTGACAAAGTACACTACAGCTTTGTATATGATCCATGTGAATAAGACCGTGTGTCATAACTGCACAACAGAAAGTCATTTCCTAAGTAAACAGTCATAGAAATAAAAATGGATTTGGACACAGGAACCTTAAAAATTTTGTCATTTATTATGTTGCATGATGTTTAACATCTTAGTTTTTGTTTGTTTGTTTGTTTTTAAGGATAGGTGGAGCTGGGTGCCAGTGGCTCACTCCTGTAATTCTAGGTACTCAGGAGGCTGAGATCTGAGGATAACAGTTCAAAGCCAACCTGAGCAGGAGAGTCTGTGAGACTTTTATCTCTAATTAATTACCAAAAAAACAAAAACAAAACAAACAAACAAACAAAAAAAACAGCTGGAAATGGAGCTGTGGTTCAAGTGGTAGAGTGCTAGCCTTTAGCAAAAAAGCTTAGACTATGAGTTCAAGTCCTAGAACAGGCAGAAAAATAAACATACAAAAGACATGCTGTTGCTACCTTGAAATTAACATTATTCTGTAATAAGAAAATTTTTGCATAGTACTTTCTGTACATTAACATGTAGAAGTCTATATGTAACTATATAAATACATGCACTGTTTTCTCCTTGGTTGATTTTAGCCATGTAATTGTGATTCATTCATGTTTACCAAGAAAATTAAAAAAAATTGACATCAAAACCAATTAACTACTAAACGGCTTTAAAGGAACTAATGACACAATGGCCTGGCACAATACATCCACTATTACATAAAAGTTGGGTAAAGAAACAGAAGTGCTGGTGAAATAGTGTCATGAAATTACCTCAGCAGGAATCTTGCCTTCACGTCAAAATCAAGACAAGTAGATGACCTTAATAACACCAGACTTCATTCCCTGATTTTCTTCATCCTAAAGTCAAACTATTTCAAAAATATTATGGAGAACAACTATCTAAAATTATCTGTACAACAAAGATAACTTAACTACAGAGTTAACAGGCACAGTGGATGAATAGCAACCATTAACTTGGGGTTTGACTGTGTTAAGTCTATGGCTAAGTCCAATATGGTGACAGGAAAGGTGCCAGGTCATTTTGTACCTCTACTGTTGGAATTTGAGAAATGTTTGCTAAACATCAATGAGTGAATCTAGCTAGCTATTCTTAAGGCTTCATTTCATAAACTTAGTTAATTTTTAATTGGTTATTGAATTCTTACTACAATTGTTTGATTGTGAGTTTTCAGATAATAGCCATTGAATTCCTTACTCCTAAACACATTTAATCAAGTTCCGGGTTTAAATGCTTCTGGACATCAAAGAGTCTGGCAAATCATTAAAACCGTATGTGCTGTTGGTGGCTCTCACGTGTAATCCTAGCTATTCAGGAGGCTGAGATCTGAGAATCATGATTCAAAACTAGCCTGGGCAGGAAAGTCAATTATCTCCAAATAATCAACAAAAAAGCAGGGAGTTGGAGGTATGGCTGTTGTGCTCCCATGCCAGCCTTCAGTGAAAAAGCTGCGAGAGCGAGCAAGGCCTAGTACCAGCACAGCACAGCACAACACACACACACACCACACACACACACACACACCACACACACACACACACACACACACATACACACACACACACACATACACACACACACACACACACACACAGAGTTCTTTCCTCTGAGTCCCAGAGAATGGAATTCGAAAGTATTACTTTCAATACAGTTCTCAGGGTGGGGCCACGGACATTTCTGGGAAGGATAGGGGGAAGGGAAAGAA